GGAATTCTCATGGGGATTGTCCTCTGGTGTATTTCCAGTGCCTAGAATGGTGCCTGACACACAGGTAGATGCTCAACTGTGTCCTAAATGAAGATAACCCCCCTCCACCCCTGCCTCCTGCTGGGAGAGGCTGAGATGAATCCAGGTGGGCTGAGGACTGGGGTGGACACGAACTCCATACTCCCCACCTCCACCTGCCCACTCTGAGTCCAGCACCCAGTAGTTTTCCAATATCTCCAGGTAAAGCCCCCCCTCCCTTGACCTGCTGGCCCCCCTCTCCTTCTCCAGGGCACAGCTCTTACTTGGCACCCTGGTTCTCTGCTCTCAGCCATCCCTTCCCAACCTCGGGCATTCCTAATGCTCTAGGAAGAGATTCAGAGGGAGGGACAGATTTTGACTTGGCCTCGTCCTTGCCTGGGCCTGAGGCTGGGAGGAGGGGAGGGTGCCAATCATGCCCGGGGCCTTTGAGTCAGGGAGACAGAAGGTGTTCCCATCAAGCCACGGGTCAGAGCCCTGCTTCCTGGCAGGCCGTGGGGCACCCCTAAGGGGAGGGCGACGTTTTGTCTCCAGGGACCACTATGTGGTGTCTTTATGACGTCCATGGTGCCATCAATTGTATGATGCACAGCTAACTCGAAATAAGAAAAATGATTTTTTGGAGATGGGTGGTGGTAATGGTTGCACAACAGTGTGGCTGTACTTAATATCATCGAACCGTGCACTTAAAAATGGGGAGGATGGTACTTTGTAGCAATTAAAAATAGTTTTAGGAAGCGAATAAAGGAACATGACCTGAAAATTGCTTTTTTAAAACCAATTTTTATTTTGTGTATTTATTGGAAGAAATCTTTTTTATTTATTGATACCTCAGTTTTTAAGTCAAAATCTCTCTAGTGCATGCATATAAAAGGAAATTATAGGCAAAAGAAATTGGCTGAAATTCAATTGAGCCTTGAACAACAGGGTTTGAACTGCACGGGTCCACTTACATATGGATATTTTTCAAAAAAATGCTGTAAATGTATTTTCTCTTCCGTATGATTTTTTTAATAACATTTTCTCTTTTCTCTAATTTGCTTTATTGTAAGAATATAGTATATAATACATATAACATACAAATATGTGTTAACGGACTTTATGTTATTAGTAAGGCTATTTGCAGTTAATAGTAGGCTATTTGTAGTTAAGTTTCAGGGGAGCAAAAAGTTATATGTGGATTTAGACTGCACAGGGGGTTGGCACCCCTAATCCTCGTGTTATTCAATGGTCAACTGTCGTCCTAGAAGATTTTCTTCACATTCAGCGTCCACATTTCCTAAGCCCTGCTTGGTCTCAGATCCCCGAGTGCTTTTCTGCACAGTGTCCTCTGTGCGCCAGGAGTGCAGTTAGGCACCATTTCCACGCGACTGTCCACTGCTGTTCCCGGAATTCCTTCCCAAGCCTCGGATACTCCGTCTGTAAACTTTACCGCATGTGTTTTCTTGCTTCACATGTGACTGGCAATCATGGTGCCCTTTTCTCAGTAATAAAACATACCACAGCTTCATCTACTTGTGAGGCTGTTCCTTTCTTAGGTTTCATCAAACACTTGACTGTTGTTTTGCAAGAAAATATAGAACTGCTCTTCAGTGGTAACTATTTGCTTCACTAATATTACATTCTTTCTGCGCTCCTGTTTTCCCGCCTTTGTGTATACACAATAACTCGGTGTTTAACTGCGAAACCACAGTGTAACCTCCTTGAAGACATTTAAATAGCAATTAAGTTGAACGGATGTAGGCAGGAGAGGCGGGGAACTTACCTGACCAAGTTTAAGTACAGGTAGTGACAGCCACTCCCAGCAGCTCCGAGACAACACGATTGAAAGAGACGTTAACATGAGAAAAAAGAGTCCACCTTAGAGTGGATGAAACGCAGCAGTTATGTTAGCATGCACTTAGAGCTCACTCGGTCATGCACTGCTCTCGACATTCTGCATGTATTAACTCTCTTCATCTCCACAGCAGTCCTATGAGCTAAGCATCCCATTTTTTAGAAAGGAGGAAAATGAGGCAGAGGGGTTCAGTAACTTTCCGGAGGCCACACAGCTGTAAGTGGGGAGGCAGAATTAGAACCCCAGAAGTCTGGCTTCAGGAGGACTTTTCGATTGTGAAAGTGAATCATCACCTTCAGAAATAATCAAGATGGAAAAGAAGTGAGAAAGAGCCTTGGCTGGTTTTGCTCAGTGGTTAGAGAGTCAGCCTGTGGACCGGGGGGTCCCAGGTTTGATTCTGGTCAGGGGACATGTCCAGGGTTGCGGGCTAGATCCCCAGTGGGGGGTGTGCGGGAGGTGGCCGGTCGGTGATTCTCTCTCATCATTGATGTTTCTATCTCTCTCTCCCTTTCCCTTCCTCTCTGAAATCAATAAAAATATATTTTACAAAAAAGAAGTGAGAAAGAATGCTAAAGGACTCTCTCTCTCTCTCTCTCTCTCTCTCTCTCTCTCACACACACACACACACACACACACACACACACACACACACACGGGTTTGGGTGATGTTTGCTGGTGACTTGAAGGAGGGGGCTGAGCCCCTGGAAAAGTGGGGGCAGAAAGAGGGTGTCTGTGGGGAGCTGTGCCAGTGAGGATGCCGCACGTGGGAGCACAGTGACGGAATTCAGGGCCCATGCTGTCTGACCGCTGGTATAAGGTGTGTTTCCTGCTCTGAGCTGAGCTGCAAATGCCTTCCATTCTCCCCACAAGGTCAGAAAAAGTGGGTCACCCATCACAGCCTGGCGGCTGGACCACTGGGGAATGAGGGGGAAGGGACAGGGCCGTCCACAGTCTGGTGAAGTGGGACGTTGTGGAGAGAGCAGGCCCAGGCAGCAGCTGGCGGGAGGGCTGGGAGGCTGGGGCTCGGGCCCCTCAGGAAGCCTGAGAATGTTGCGGGGTGTCGGATCCATGCAGTTCCGGGACACAGCGCAAGCCCTTGGATGTCTTGTTGGGTGACCAGATAAAATACAGGGTGCCCAGGCAATTGGAATTTCAGATAAATAATAAAATGTTTAGCATAAGTAATTCCAAGCCCTATATGGGACATACATATACTGAAAAATTATTTGTTATTTGAAATTGAACTGGGTGCCCTGCATTTTTATTTGCTAAATCTGGCAACCCTATTCCATGTGGAAGCAAAGGAGGAACCCAGAGGACTGAAGGCCTGGGGACATCTGAGTTTCAAACTAAATCCTCACAAGGACTTTCGGGGATGCGTTGTTTTAGCTCCATTTCACACAGGAGGAAACTGAGGCACAGAGAGGTTATAAAGGTTTCCCAAGACCACAGGGCTGGTTA